TGGGTGGTGGGTGGTGGGCAGTGGGGCAGTGGGGCAGTGGGGCAGTGGGTGCAGTGGGGCAGTGGGGCAGTGGGTGCAGTGGGGCAGTGGGGCAGTGGGTGCAGTGGGTGCGGACAGTGGGAATGTCTGATAGTAATAACAGAGAGGGAAGGTTTTAGCAGCAAGAGGTTCTAAAGACTTGATTTGGTTGTAATGTTGTCATCGGCCTGTTTATAGGTTTTAACCAATGAATTGTAGCAGAACATGCTAAGACTGTGCTCGTTTAATGCTGCTTTACAAAAAAGGCCCAGAGAGGTCAGTTCCATTTTCAAAGCCAAAAAGTGCGCTGTCCTGTCTTCATCCAATCAATGTTTATACAGTTCCTCCAAGACACTACGTCAAATGCGTTCAACTGAATATGTGGGAAGAGGGGAGGAGGAGGGGGAGGGAAAGGAAATCAATAGACAAAACTGCAGGAATTAGACAACTCACAGTTTGTATCACATATATATTCTGGCTTTCCATCATGAATACTTCATACTTGTAGTGTAGAGACTCCAACCCGGTTTTACGGCTACTAGGGCCCAGCCCCCTAGGTCTATTTGAATACGAGGAGCTAAGACGGCGACCTTAAGTAAGTTTGGCATGCGAATTTTAAAAAACAGCGAGTGCAAATATGGTTTTTTTTAAGTCGACTGATCTCTGATTGTACTTAAAGTAAATTGTTCTTACATAATTCATCAAAAGTAGATTAGCAAATTAAAAAATACAACTACCAAATACATTTATATCCATTTCTAGTGGAATTAGATGGACCATATGTTGATATCTTGGAATAATTAATGACTATGCGTGAGTTACACAAAATGAAGCAAAGATTCGCAGCCAATTTGTTGCCAGAATTTCAGAGGTGGTAAATTTAAAGCAGCTTTTTTGCCTGATCAACCTAAAGACACACCCTGCTGGAGTGCGAATTTACCACCAAGGGTTGAACATAAAGGATTTGAGGAAAGCAATGAATTAGAAGATGGAAAGCAAATATTTCTTATCAAGCCATAGACCAACATCCGAGCATGATAAATAAAACCAGAATTTGCTGTTTTCGTGCCCTGAAGAGGTTTGCTACAGAACAAGCCTTCAAGCAGTCGCCTTTTACTAAATATAGCCAAGACCCTTAATTATCCTCATGCCCATTGGCATTTTGAAAGAAAAAACGTGGAAATTAGCACAGTATAAAAATCGTCATCTGTGCTGACTAGTGGCGATGATGTAAATATACCTGTCACTACTAGTCCTAAACAACAATGTCACAAAAAATTAAATACATTGTCACATGTGGGATCCCTTATGTTTAGGGTAATGTTCAAACTCAATCATAAAAAGTTTACTGCCTTCTCTAGATTATGCAAAACGAAAATCTTAAAAAATGAGTGCGTCCTGAAATAACTCTAATCAAATATTGGCTCTATTTACAAGTTAATGACAAATCTTAATACTAGAAAACTTCGTTTTGATCATTACAAAATTAAATAACTTTTTGTAACTCGTTTTATTACTCGATTTATAAACAATTTTAGCTAATTTCTAAAATAGCCAATTTAATGACTAAAATAAACTTTTCGCAATAGAGATAGCTGTAGAGCAGCTGCATGGCTAAAACTTTGTCGTACCAGATAGATTCTAATGCAATGTATCTGAAAACAAAATCACCTGTGATAAATTGCTCCGTTCTAAGCAGAAAACATCGCGTGGTAGTCAAGAGCTCAAGAGCTGTCGCAAAGTATTGCGGCAAACCATTAATTCTAAGCAGAAAATTCCAGGTTAATTAGACATACAGAGGGGAAAGAACACGAGATAAATGTTCCAACTCGTAACATTTGCTACAGTCCATCTATAGCTTTGAAAAAGGAGCGGCTACTAAGAATTTTTTTAAATATGACTGGACAATATTTTTGACGAATCGTTTGATGAATTTTCCTTGTGTCCGATTGTGACAACTCCAGTTATAATCACTGATCATTAAACTATGATAAAGCTTTGATATCTAACCAAGTACAAATTCGCAATGATCCTTATTGCAATGATCCGCTTGAGGTTCCACAAGGCTCTTGGAACACCCCTATGCTTTTTGGCTCTAGCGGCCTCAAGCTAGCGCCTCTAGAAACGTGTTCATGAGTCAATTTGAATCTCAGTCACAATGTGCTACAATCGTATGCAAAAACAATCGAAAGCGAAAGAGTATAATTAAGAAAAATTTGATTGAAACAAAAGACGTTTTCATAGATAAAGAATCCACTTTGAAGCAGCATCTTTATGAAAATTAGAATTTGAAAGATAATGTTTTTTTCTGTTCTAGAGTTGGCTAGGTTTTATAAAAAGAATTGACAGGAAAAGATGATGTTCAGATTTACGTTGAACATCAAGGTTTTAAGCCTTAGGAGTTGGGTTAGTTTAATCCAGGGCGGAACCAAGATGAAACCGGGGTGAACCAGGGTCAGTTTTATTTACACTATGAAAAACTAATCCAGGTTACTTTGTGTAGTGTGAATAGGGCTTTAGTCCCAATTCAGTTTGAATTACAGCCTCGACAAAGCTTACACATAGGTGAAACTGGAGGTGGAATGTCCATTGCCTAGAGGTCCCTTGTACGTGGCTTTAGTTGCATCGAAGAGATTGTCGGGCAGGACTGCTTGTCCCATGTGCCTAGGTGTCCGTTTTCCGAAATTCCTTGCATAAAGGTCAACTGAACTAGATTTTAGCTACATGAAAGAGATTTTCGGACAAGCTTGTTTGTGTGTTGTTCGTAGGTGTCCGCTGTCGGGAGATCCCCTTGTTTGGAGGTCCTTTGTGCAAGAATTTAGCTATAAGAAAGATTTTTCATAAAGGGTTGTTTGTACGTTATTCTCGGGTGTCCGTCGGGGGCGATTCCCGTTGTCTGGAGAATACTTTTTCAAGGTTTTGATAGAAAGGAAGAAATTTAGGCACAAAAGTATTTCTCCTATGTTTGGTGATATTCCTTGTTCGAAGAAAGATATCGCAGGGAAGCATTGCGGAGCCCACTGTGGATGGTTCAGCCAAAAGAAATTCAGCTAAGCCATGTTAAGGTGATTCAGCTGAAATTCTTCAAATTGAAAATACATGGCGAACCTTGATTTCATAGAATTCGTTTCAAAATTTCCGGTTCTGAATTATTGTAAAAAATTTCGAAGAAATTCTGAACTGTTTGAATCAAACGTCAGTATTTATAGTGTGCATTTGAAGGGACATCTAGAGACTTTGATGTGGGTGCAATGAAACTTAAACATTTTGACGATCAGGAGATCAGTTTAATTCAATTTAGAACGGTCAAGTTTGGAAATCATGTTTGATCCAATACTGGCGACGAAATTTCCCATTATTCAATGGATGATATTTTGTGACACCTAGATGCTACTGCCTAAGTTCTTAGAAGAAAAGTGACAACTACAATATAATTTCAATATCATGAAAGTTTATGCTAAGTCCTAACCATCAATGAATGATAAACGTTTGATATCTGATTTGTTTATAGCCATTTGGATGAAAGAGTATTGTTAGCCAAATCTATTTTAATATATTAAGTGTTTCTCTTAAAGAGTCGAATGAAAGTTGAAATGAATGAAGAGAACATACAGATCATACACTGTGTCATACAGAGACATGATGAGCCTTTTAGATGTCCCAATAGTGCATGAATTGGGAAAATGCAAGATGAAAGCTGAAGATGGCACACACTTGGAATAAGAAACAAAGATATTACCTTGTATTTTGATGTTTGCTGCTGATCGACCAACACACGGCTTGAAAAGAAGGCAGATGGATGGGTCGAGTTTAAACAATTGCAACTAGCATATCACTACAATGCAGAAGATAAAGTAAAGAATAACCTTTTAAAAGTCAATTATAAGGTGATTAGGAAACAAAATATTTTAAATTCACCGGTGACCATATTGATTTATTTAAAAAACCTCAAAAATAACAACTGAAAACAACTTCTTGCTGAAGTGCCTCA